GAAATTCTGACTGTCAGAACGTTGTTTCGTAGACAACGTGCCACGATGTGACCATCTACCTCCGCGCTGTAATCAAGTTACTCTGCGAAGCCTGCCACCCTTTTGAGTGGTCATCAAAGACACAGACTGGCCAGAACCGGTTTGGCTAGGTGGATAGAGCGTCGGCCTGCGGACTCAAGGGTCCCAGGTTCGATTCCGGTCAAGGGCATGTACCTTGGTTGCGGGCACATCCCCAGTGGGGGGTGTGCAGGAGGCAGCTGATCGATGTTCTCTCATCGATGTTTCTGGCTCTCTATCCCTCTCCCTTCCTCTCTGTAAAAAATCAATAAAATATATATTTTTTAAAAAAAGACACAGACTGCCTGTGGCTCACCAAGTGTCTCAAAGCATGTACCTGAGCTTATATCATCATTACTTTTATTCTAAAAAGCTACGCAGCTTTAAAAAAGCTATTCAGCCTAGATTCTGAAAACTATTAAAAAGTATACCACTGGGGAGAAAAAAAGAACCTTTTCAGGGTTAAAGATGGAGATTAATGATGACATTAAAAAAGCCAATATGAATCCACAGGTCAAGTACAAATGGGGGGAGAAATTGACCTTCTTACAGCTTTCTCTGGACACAGTCACAAACGAAAACCCGTGGAAGGACCTTTCACAAAAGATGAACGAAATTCAAGCTACTTTCTTTTACCCTACTTTTTAGTTTTCTTACTGGGGATAAGTCGGCCTAAGTACTTGTGCAGAGATATCTCATTTCCAAAGCTTACCTCTTTTCCTAAATTACACATTCCCCAAAACTACAGGGAATGCCACTTGGCGGGTGAGGAAGACATGGTTAAAGGACTCTGACTGATGAAGGATGCCCATGAGCAGTTTCTCAGTGAAGACACCCAGATGGCTGTCTACACAGACCAAGCCGAGGAGAGCGGCGGAAACCCACCTTTCTGCCACTGGGCACGGATCTTTTTGCGGTAGACAGAGTAGCAGCGGTCTAACGCACTGAGGTAGCACTGGATGGAGAGTCTCCCATCCACGATCGGGTATTCGGAAAGCATGTCGGGCTTGTAAAAGTCATAGGCATGTTGCATGTGTGTCGCACGAAGTCCTATTAGAACCAAAAAGGAAGATGTCCATGGATTTCTGCTTCATGATGTCAGCCTGCTAGCAAGCATTACTGGGCCCTCCTTAACTAGCCAGCTCTCGCCTCTTGCAGTATAAGCATCACAAGGTGAAGCCAATAGTAACTGCAACAACTGTATCCACAATAGGCCTAAGACTCCTTGGCTATACATTTTCACGCAAACTTCATAAATCTAATTGGGAGACGTCGATTGCTTTACTAAACTGAAATAAAGCTTGCCACTTACTGTGTGACTACGGGCAAGTGCTTCCTTTAAGTTATTCCTTAAACCCATTTTACTTCTCTGCAAGATGGGCATGACACTGCTCACCTCACACAACTGCTATGAAGACTAAATATGATAAAACAAAGAAAGCACTTAGCAAGTAGTATCTGCTGTGAATGACCACTCAGTAAGCACTAGCTTCTATTTTCAAATTTCTCAGCATACTGTGCTAATTTAAAAAAACAAAAACACTCCCACTCACCTCGTTCAAAAATTAAAGGAGCATTTGGCCCAATGAGCAGAGCAATGGCTCCGACGCCACCTGTAGGCCGAGCATTTCCTGTGGCATACACGGCAATATCTCCTGCAACTACCAGGGCATACCGTCCTGAAAAACATTGTCAGTGCAAAAGAAGGTGATCCATAATGTAAATATTACACGTGGAAACTGAAGTGTTACATTTCCCCCAGAATATGCTTTCCCCATCTTTGGAAAATGGGTGGCTCAGTTGGTTAGAGCATTGTCCTGAACACCAAAAGGTTTCTGGTTCAATTCCCAGTCAGGACACATACCTAGGTTGAGGGTTCAATCCTCAGTCAGGGCATGTATAGGAAGCAACCAATTGATGTTTCTCTTTCACATCAATGTTTCCCTCTCTCTCTAAAATCAATAAAAAGTACATATCCTTGGGGCGAGGATTAAAAAAAAATGGTCTAAGTTTTGATAAGGTAATATCCTACAGGATAAAGATAACAGATTCATAATGCAGATATGCTAAAAGTCTTAGCTATCTTCCTGAACATATGCCAACAAGTGTTAAGTGGTTACGTTTGCATATGGCATTAATTAAAAGGTCATCTGGGCCATGGGTTCGATTCCAGTCAAGGGCACATGCCCGGATTGCGGGCTCGATCCCCAGTATGGGGTGTGCAGGAGGCAGCCGATCAATGATTCTCTCTCTTTCCACCTTCCTCTCTGAAATCAATAAAAATATATTTAAAAAATTTTTTTAAAGAAAGGCCATCTGGGCCTATTCATCCTCAGAGATTGTTTCTTTGATATAGAGACATAACGCACCATCCCAGGAGCTGGACTCGATCCAGTTCACAGCATTGAAGACAGCGGCCGTGCCTCCGTAGCAGGCGTTCGTGGTATCTATTCCTTCTACATCTGTGTTCCCGGACTCCTCAAAGAGCTGCATCAGATTGGTCTTCACTGACTTGGATTTGTCGATGATTGTCTCTGTTCCGACTTCCAGCCGCCCAATGCAATCATAAGAAAGGCCATTTCTCTCCATGAGGTTCTGAACCACAGTCATGCAAAGAGAGTTGATATCTTCTCTATCCGTGCAGAAGCCCATCTTGGCCTGGCCCAAGCCAATAGTATACTTTCCAGCATCTACACCATCATATTTTTCCAACTCGGCTTGATCAACATATTGAGAAGGAAAATAGATCTCAAGGGCAACAATGCCCACATCTTTTGGCCAGGAGGCTTCTGCATTCAAAGGAAGTGACCCAGGCATGGTGCGAGAGCTTCCGGAAGAAGAACAGAAGAACATTATTTCAGGTTCTAAACTGTTAAGTTCAAATTTGAGAAATCGACATTAAGAGTTCAACTATCACCTAAAATATTAGTTTACTTTTAAGTTCATCGCACTTTACTTAGGGCAGTCAATTTTAAATATAGCAATTATAGTAAGAATGAAGTACTATTATTCAAAATTATCATCTTTCAGAAAAGCTTGCACTTTATTCAAAATTAGACATCTTTAATATATTTTATTAATTTTTTAACAGAGAGGGATAGAGAGCTAGAAACATCGATGAGAGAGAAATATCGATCAGCTGCCTCCTGCACACCCCTGACTGGGGATGTGCCCGCAACCAAGGTACATGCTCCCGACCAGAATCGAACCCGGGACCCTTGAGTCCGCAGGCCGATGCTCTATCCACTGAGCCAAACCAGTTAGGGCCAAAACTATACATCTTTAGATTTAAAGTATGATTATTAGAAGTAAGGAAACTCAAATAAGATTCTTCCATGTTGTAAAGAACTATGTGATATCTGTCTGTCTGTCTCTCTCTCTCCCTTCCACTCTCTCTAAAAATCAATGGGTGAGGATTAACAATAAAAAGTGTTTTTATTGAGTTGAGAGAGGGAGAGAAAGAAAAAAAAATTGATGTAAGAGCGTACCACTGGCTGCCTCCCACATGCACCCAGATCGGGGATCAAGCCTGAAACCTTGGCATGTGCTCTGACTGGAAACAGAAATGTGATTTCCTGGTTAATAGGTCAATGCTCAACCACTAAGCCATGCCAGCCAGGCTCTTTTACAAATATATATATTTTAGTGATTTTAAAGAGAAAGGGCGAGGGAAGGAGAGACAGAAACATCAATGAGAATCACTGATCAGCTGCCTCCGCATACCCCCCATTGAGGATCGAGCCTGCAACCCCAACATGTGCCCTGACCAGGAACCAAACCATGACCTTCTGGTTCAGACATTGACATTCAACCACCTAGCAACACTGGCTTGACTAAATTTCTTTAAAGAGGAAGGAAAGGTACACTTTCACCACAGCTCTGGAAACCTTTAAAGCTATCTTCCAACAAGAAAGTGCCAACAAGACTCAAGTCTGTTCTAAAGCAAAGGCTCAACCCTCCCAGCAAAAGATTTTTACATTAGTCCATTAAACACAAAATTAGCATTAACTAGTATTTCAAGCTAGGGTGTAACCCTGCACAGGGTCTGAGGCTGTGTGGCATGTATGATTTGCCCTGGGGTAAACATTAAATTCCCCCTGCCTTTCGAGAGGACACTCCTTAGCAGCAGGACAGGGTGCCATACCTGTGTGAGCGACAAAGAACTTCAGTCTCCAGGTCTGTCACTGTTTCCTCCTTCAGGCACTAGGAATTTCAAATAAGAACTTTGTTTAAAGTCATAAATTACCACATGAACTCAAATAACTTCAAAGTGAGTTAAACATTTCCTTATCCAATTACATAATGTAGTACAGAATTTGACCTTGCTTAGGAAAAATGTTACCTAACGCTTATAGATAAACCCTTCCCCCTTTATTGTATTAGCTCTTATAGGGGCAGGTTCAGACCTCAGGAGTTTTCAAACAAAATACCTATCTTTCTAGCAAGATGTAATTATCCTCATTTACTCACTCATGCTTCTAGTTTTCAACTCAGTGGCATGCAGCCACATTCATTTGCCCCAACCTTTTAGAGTGATTTCCCCTTAGTGCCTGTATTGAAAAGACAAGCATTTGACACTTCAAGGCCAAGAAACATCAAAATTTATCAACATTTAAATTGAGTAGAAATAGTGCAGAATCTCGGAGGGAAGGGGAGGGAGGTGTGAGGTAATCAACCAAAGAGGTTGTATGCAAATATGCAAAAACTAAGGACACAGATAATAGGGTAGTGAAGACAGGGGTGGGGGTGGGAGGCAGGGGCAGGTCAGAGAGGGTCAACGGGGGAAGAAGGGAGACATTTGTAATACTTTCAACAATGCTTATTTTAAATAAATAAATAAAGTGGAAAGAAAATGGGATGATGACCTGCAGCACTTCCTTTAGTCCACATGTGCTGTAGGGTTGTTGCTTGAGACAACAGTTTCTGTTTAACAGTTTCCTTTGCTCTCTAAGTACTGGCCCACTTGGCACTGGCCCAGAGGCTACAATGAGATACTATTTAGTAAAGCTTTACTTTCTTCACATCAGTAGATCACTTAAGAGCTCTTCACAGACTTCCGACCGTTTACTTCATTATGTTTAACCTCACGTCCCAAAATCAATCAATCCTGCCCTGGCCAGTGTGGCTCAGCTGGCTGGAGCGTCACCTCCGTGCACTAAAAGGTGGCAGGTTCAATCCCCAGGTCAGGGCACATGCGGAGGCAGCTGACCGATGTTTCTCTCACATAGATGTTGATGTTTCTCTCTTCCTCCCTCCAAAAAGTAATTTTAAAAAAAGTTTTAAAATCCTGATTTTTACAGGAACAGGAAAGGCTACTACATTCCACAAAACCTCTTTGATTAAAGTATTAAATACACACTTTGAAAAAATAACTTATTTTTTTTTCTTTATTCTCTCATTTTATGCTTGTGTAGTCTGCAAATTAAGCAGACCATGCAGACCAGTTCTCACTGGTGGGGGGAAAGCATGATTCCCTCTGAATGTTGAGACTACTTAAATAGCAGTAATATTTCTTTTAAAAAATATATATATATTATTGATATCGAACCCGGGACCCTTCAGTCCGCAGGCTGACTCTCTATCCACCGAGCCAAACCGGTTAGGGCAGTAATACTTCTTCTTGAAGCCATGTATGCATACGCATTCGACACTATTTATGCCAAGGAAATTTCCCCTAACTGCTGATATTCCTTCTTTTAATTTTAATTATTCAAACTGGGGAAGAAGGAGAGCATATGAGATCTTGGTCCTCAGTATATGTCGCCAGTTTGGCTCAGATAAACTCTTATAAAAATTCAAAAGATAACAATAGCTAAATAAACTGGGCATGAATGTTGGGAGAGGTGGAAGAGAAAAGGGGAAAGAGAGGAGGCGAATGGGAGCAGAGAGAAAGAGGCGGGGGAGCAGGCACTAGAGGCAAAGAAACAGAATGTAGAGTCCCCGGGGCTCCCTGGAGGAGGAGGCCTGGAGCACAGAGGGAGGCAGTAAATGCCACTGTGGGGAAGAGTCCCTGGGAAAGGGATTAGGCTCCCATCCTCTTCTGTCATCGCCATCCAGGTTCTCTGTTCTGCCTGCAACAGCCCTGCCGAAAGTCTTCAACAGATTTCTTCTAGAAGGTGTTTTCAGAGCAAGTGCCAGAGCCGAGCAGCACGGGTCAGGGTCAGGACGTGGTTAATGAATCACAAGCGGCTGGGCAGGTTACCACAAAGGGTGTTTGGGAACTCCTGAGGCCATGAGTTTGGCAAAGATTAAAATGATGAGGCCGCCTAGTTCCTACAGCCATGCTTTTTTCTGGGGTTTAGTCAGTCGTTCTGAATTCCTCCTGGCTCCCCTGTAGCTCGATTCCAACAGGTGGTCAGAGAAATTCAGGACACATTTGGGTACAAGGTAAACTATAAGCAGTCACCTGGCGACCTGCTCACTATTACAGGAGAGGAATCCAGGCAATTGAGAATAAGCTGCCTTTCCACCACAGGAGCAAGCAAACAAGACCGCTGTGTAGAGCCTTCCTGCGCTACACTCTGGCTGGTTCTCCAAGTATAACACATGGATACCCCTGCCGACCGCCCCTCAGTCACTGGTCTGCTATCAGAGCATACTCATATTTCAATACCTTCTTGTAAGATTCCTCTTCTAGGAAAGTTTCCTAGAGTTTTCTAATCAGGGCCCTGCACTCCTGCAGCAGGCACGTCATTCACAACAAAGTCTCCATATTCTATCCTCAAAAGAAAACTATGAGAGGTCCTCCTATCCCCCCTGGGTTCCTAGACTCCTCTTGGGGGAAGGACTGTATTTTTAGTCTTTTGAAATCCCTTGGAGACCTTGGAGTAAAGGGCATTCAACTGCCATTTTTTAAGGGGCTGAATCTGGAGTTAAAACAATTACAGGACAAATCTTGTAGATTCAGTGCTTGTAGTTGCCCTCACTAGTAAGTTCTTTTTGCTATCACTTTTAAGGCGAGTGGCAGCACCAAAGAGTGTTCAGAAAATTAGCTCTCTACTGTTGTTGTTCAAAGCAAATGGTAGGTTTCCACTGTTCCCAGATCCTAACCCGAAAAATGAAAGGAATCGAAACAGAATCGGACGAGAACATTTGTCAGTCTTACAATCATTCCAACATGCACACATCCCCAAGCACAAACCCTGCAGAGAAGACTGTGAGCTTGAAAGATTAGCTTCTCCTCTGCTGCTCTAACTAGGTATATTCAGCTGATAGACAGCTAGTGAGCATCACACATGTCAAGCACTAGGATGAATAGGTGATTAAGAACGAGTCCTGCCCTCCTCCCATTAGATTGGGTGACACATTTCTCAACCTTTTCAATCTATATCACCTTCTTGAGAAACATAGAAATATCACACCCTTCTATACTTGGTTCTTTAGGAACCCGACCTGAAATTATAAGGCTTGATATACCTTTCTAAACGAAACTAAATAGTGATTCTGACATATAGCCCATCAAGCTCCTCCCTCCACAACCAACCTGTGTCTCCCCACATTCAGTTCCACTGGATTATGATTTTAAATAATTCTAGGGTACCAAGGAAACACGTCACATCAACATCAGGGTTCTGCATTTCCTGTGAGAAAAGCTATCTAAAATACTGACCAAAAATTCTCAAAGCCAATCCCAGTGAAGAGAAACAAGATGTGAAAGCATTCTGGAGGAATATTTAAGTAAACAAGATCAAAAGCAAGCACCAGAATTAGCCTAGCAGATGATATGGCCGACTATGGCCTCAACCGTCACATCCATTTAACTCTCCCCAAAGGGAGACACCCTCTGAGAACTGGAGTTACCGACTAAGGTAGCATGGAACTGAACTAAACTAGAACTAAAAATGGGATAAACTTAGAAGAGAGAAACCTACAAAGGACAAACAAAACAAAAAGAATGTCTTACTCCACTCCCCATCCCCTCCCACCCCACCCCCCCTGTAAAACATGCTCTTCCTGCTCTTCTTGTCCATACGAAAATAACTGAAATTTAAAAAATAGAGAACGAACACAGGCTGCTTAGGTGTCTCAAGCTGCAAAAACCCACTGGGCACAGGTCCATGTTAAGGGCTTTCAATCGGCCTCCTGACAGAATCTGTGCAATACAGGTCCACGCTCCATCTCAGAAGGAAAAGTCGGGTAGCTGCGTGAACCCCTCCATTCGTCTTGATTTTGTCATTTATCTCGCTATCCTTTTTCCTGACCTGTCCCTGAAACGGAGCCCCTGGTGCTCAGGGGAGCAGACCTGGCCCGGCTGCAGCAGGCTGGCCAGAGCATCCGGAGGGAGGCCCGCAGCATCCGGAGCTCCGAAGAGGCCCGAGGAGCCCGAAGGCCCAGGACACAGGCAAGCACGGCAAGCAGGGGCAGCCTCTCTCTACCTGTGGTCCAAACCCCTTCCCCGGCGTGGCCCTAAGCCACCCTCTCTCTACCGCGGGCCGCGGCAGGACATGCGTTTGCAAAGGCTCCATGGACTTGCTTTGGGAATGTCCTTGACTTAACCCAAAACCTCCGGTGTGTGCAGGCCCTGTGGGTGCCTGGCCCATCACATTGTCCTAGCAGGTCAGGCTGGTCCTGAAGCTGTCGGTAGGGGGGAGGTACGAGAAATCCTGTTTTTAAAATGGGCATAAAAATGACGGAGGCGGAAGGTGGGAGGCAGGAATCTGGTCTCTGAATCAAGCGCCGTGAGCAGCAGCCAAGAGCGCCAGCCCTCCTGCCCCTGCGCTCGACTGGGGATGCTGCCCACTCCCGTTCCTCCCAGCAACTGCCCCTGGGGTGGCAGGACACACCCCCTGCCAAGCCACAGCCCGCGGGTGAGCTTCCCCATCCCCGGGCGTCCCCTTCACTGAAGGCGGCAGGAGCGCCCTGGCAACCCAACTCCGGTCGCGTCCCCGGCAGATGCCCACGCCCGGCCCCTGCCCCGGCACCTCCGACTCCTGGCCGACTGTGTCCCTCGAACCCATAACCTTCAACGCCCTCTCCCCCCCTCCCCTCCGCAACTCGC